TCAGGGTGGTGCAGCACGGAGGTCCCTATGATTCGTGGCCGAGTCCTTACCAACAACATTAACCAGTCAACCCGCCCACCGAGGCCCACGCAGCAGAGAATGCCAGCGGCCACACACAGGGCCTAAAGGCTGAGCTTGCTTGGGAATCAGACACCTTTTGGCTAAAAGATTTTAGCATGCCAGATGGGTGGAATGGACAGACGGCTGGGCTCCAGAGCAGCCTTGGTGACTGGGAGAGGGGCCACGGTCACTGACTGGGCAGCAGGGCGGGTAAAAGGGGGCTGAAACAGGAAGGGTGACTCTCCCCGCTCCTGACCTGCCCAACAGTACGCCAAGGACCAAGAAAGGGCTCAGGGGCCAGGGGCTTTGTCCTGGGGCTCAGGGGCCCCGTGCACACGTTTTACCACGGGTGCCCTCGGAACGCCTGAGCGGGACGTGGTCGGCTCCCAGCCCTCGCTTTGCGCCCAGGAGCACGCTTCCACGGAATGCCTGGATCGATGTCCAGCACCCAAGACACAAACACTTACTGGGTCCACGGCACTGAATCGCTTAAGGTACTGCAGTGTCATGCTATTTCCAAATGGCCCGGGACTTTGTACATCAGGACTGCATGTAACAGAGGGATTGGGCTTCAATTTAACTCCCCTACCCTCGGGGTGACCTTGTGCCAATACCCAGAGGTGACAGAGGAGACATGACCGGGACCCACTGTGGTTAACAGCTCTCTGCACAGTCCAGCTTCCATCCGCACAAAGAGGACCCGCTTCTCCCCTAGGTGCCGACTGTCCTGACCTGGACAGCAGCTGCCTGGCTTAGAAAGTTCTGAGCAAGGCAGCAGCCTCCTCTGACTGCACTCTCTCCAACCCACTTTGCTCCCGGGGACCTACCAGAAGGTGCCCGGCAAAGCAGACCAGCAGGATGACGGTGAGAACAAGAAAGGCGAGGCCGAAGGAGACTCCCAGGGTGGTGGTTCTGTCAGGGAACAGAGAGGAAGAGGTTAGGGTGAGTGTGCTTTGAGAGCAGAACATGCTGTGTTAGGGGGCTCAGCTCTGAGTCATGGTGGTTCTCAGGAAGTGGAATGAAAGGCTGCCAGGTCGGTGATGGATTTACCTCTACGGTATATGGAGTTTTCAGTGGCTGATGAAACAAGGAGTGCTCAGGCCTTTCTTTCTGGTCTCCCTTTGTGTGGAAGCTCAGCCCCATAGACACACCCACGGCATGGATACTCATACCAGCCGTATGCTGGCGAGAATCAAGCCTGGCTCTCCACCATGGAGAACTCAATCCGTGGATCCCAGTGCCCCATCACTGTGGCCCCACTAGCTAGATGCCACCTTTCTCCAGTACGAAGTCCTGCTGGGAGGCAGAGCGTGGTCGAAGTTGTCAGTGATGCCATTTTCCTTAGATTCATAAGTAGCTCCTGGAAGCAGCATCCAGGAGATCAGGTCACACGGCGCTGCATAAATCTGCTCCGAAGGGCCTCTTGTAACATGCTAAAGCTAGTTAGAGACCGCTGACCCAAGCCATGGTATTTTCAATGGCTTCACTAGTGAAAGTTGGACAATGACTAAGGATGACAGAAGAACTGATTGATGCCTTTGCGTTGTGGTGCTGGAGAAGAGTGCTGAATAACCCATGAGCTGTGAAAGAATGAAAAGATCTCCCAGAAAGCACAAACGAATGCTTCTTGGAGGTGAGGAAGCTAAAGCGTTGTCTCGCCTACTCGGGCAGCTGCTAGGAGAGGCTATTCCTTGGAGAGGCTTGGAAAAGTGGTAAGTCAGCAAAGAGAGGAGAAACTCAGGCAGGGGTATCGACACAGTGGCCGTAACAGTGGACCTGAGAGTGTCAGAGATGGTGAGGACGGCACAGGGTGGATCAGGGGTCAAATTGGTTGCTCACAGGATCACAGTGAGTTATCACCATAGCCATCTAATAATGGAAAGGTCTGTGGTTCAAATCCACCAGTCTCTATGAGGGAGAAAGGCAGGCAGTCTCATCTGATAACGACTTACAGCTTGGGAACCTGATGGAGGGTGGGTGGCCACCAACGGCACGGGAGTTGTTATCACTAACTCAAAATAAAGTTCCTATGACAACTTCATGAAGAAGATTCAGCAACGGTATGCGTTAAGGTGACGACACCACCTTGCTCGCCCAAACTGAGAACTTGAGGGACCCGGTGCAGAAGGTCAAGGACTGCAGCCTTTAATACGGATTGAAGCTCAACATCAAGAAAACAAAGATTCTCACCACTGGGCCAGTAGGGAGCATAATGATGGATGAAGAAAAGACTGAAGTTGTTAGCAATTTCATCTTGCTCAGATCTGCAATCAACTCTCTTGGCATCAGCAACTCAGGAAATGAAAAGACCAACTGCACTGGAAAAATCTGCTGTCAAGGATTTCCCCAGAGTGCTAATGCAACAGTATCAGTCAAGAGACGAAGGTCTTCTCAATTGCTGCTGTGCGTGTGAGAGCTGGACAATGCCTACGGATGACAGAGGAACCGATGCCTTTGAGCTGAGAAGCTGCAGAAGAGCACTGAACATCCCACGGGCTGCCAAGAGAACAAACACGTCTGTCCCGGAGAGGGCGAAACCAGGCCACTCCTTGGAGGCAAGGATTTTGAAGCTTTATCTCACATACTTTTGGGTCTGTTGCCAGGAAAGGTCAGTCCTTGGAGAAGGACACCATGCTTGGAATGGCAGAAGGACAGCACAAGAAAGGAAGATCACTGAGGAGATGGCTTGACATTGATGGATGCGGGAAGAGGACCATGTGTGGTGGAGATGGTGAAGTTGGCTCAGGACGGGGCAAGGTTCAGAGCCACTTTCACAGGGTCATTGTGAGTTGACTCAGCGGCACACAGCAACAACATAATTATCTCAGGGGAGTTCTGAAGGCTTAGTGGTAAGGAATTGTCCTGAGAAGGAATAGGTATGTGGATCGAATTCACCAGCTGGTTCCTGGGAAGAAGACAGGCAGTCTCCTCCTGTGAGATTTACCACCTCTGAAGACCCACTGGAGGGTCAGCTACGGGTAGGTTCTGACTTGACGGTCCACACAACACAACAATCACAAGGAACTTTAATACAGAAGAAGTGCTTACTTCGCGACGGAAAGGGTTAGGCTTAATACTCTTCACTAAAACCACAATGCAAAGGCATCAGATTCCCTTTTTAGTCTTTATTTTATTATCCAGCTTTTAGATGCACAGAAAGCAATTGAAAAGAAAATGGCTTAGGTCAGTTTCACCTTAGTCTCTATGCTGTTATCTGTGCTCTTCAGTCCTGTAAAGAGGCCTTTGAGAGATGGAAACAACCCAAGTGCCCATCAACAAACGAATGGATAGAGCAGCTCTGGTATAGTCACACAATGAAATACTATGCAGCACTGAAAAACAAGGAACTCATGAAATAGTCTTCAAAATGGGTGATCCTGGAGGACATTATGCTGAGTGAACTATCTCAGTCACAAAAGGACAAATACTGCATGGTGCCACTGTTGTAAAACAGGACTGACAGTGGGGTTGAGGGAAGATAGAGAAGGAGGGGAGGAATGATGTATACTGCATTGAAACAGATGAGGCAAAGAACTGTTTAAAAGGGATATACGATTAGGTATTATTGTCATGACAAGAGTCCAGAATGAAGGCTGCACAGTAGAGTGGACTTGGGGGGAGGGACTGTATAACAATGAGAGAGTTTTACTTTTCAAGGAGAAGAGTGAATTGGAGGAGAGGGGGTGGACAGGGTGAAAAGTGCAACAATGAATGACCAGAAATGCTAAGTCTCTGTACACTTTCATTCAAATTAATAAAAACTCCAGGCCTTTGAGAGCAGACTCGCTCACTGAACTCCTCTTCTGATTTCTTCGCGGCTGCTTCCATGGTGTATTCTAGATCTAGCTTTTCTTCCTTGCTGTACACATCTCAGAGTTCTGCTGTGTTTACTGCTGCTACTTCACGGGCCCGTTTTGACACTTCTCCTAGAAAACTATTCATTTCATTTAGATTTTCAAATTCTGTCTAATTTGAAACAGTATCCCTATCTGGAAGAATGTCCTCAGGCATCTTAACGTTCTTTTTCTCCAGATTAAGAGTTCTTGAATTTTGCATATTCTGTTTATCGCAAAACAATAAGGTCTTATTATTAAAGTTTCTGCTTTCTAGTCACTTCCTGTATTATTCATTTCCGGAACAACTTTAAAAATCTTCGTTCAACTTTATTTTGGTTGTTATTTTTCTTTTTCTTGATTGCTATGTATTAGTCATCTAAGGATATAAATGTTCCTGTAATTACAGCTTTGTCCATATTCCACAGCTATTGATCTATTATTATTCACTGTCACTCCCTTCTAAAAAGCTCGTAATTTCAATTTCTATTTCTTCTCACACAATACTCATTCAGAAGTGTGATTTTTAAATTCTAAACCCAGATTATTTTCAGTTGGCCCTTGCTTTCTGTCATTTCAATGGCGTGGCCTGGGACTGTGGTGGCTCTCATTACCACGGTAAGAATTTGTTTTTCTTCTGGGTTGGGACCAACATAGTCTACTTTTGTGGGCTGCTGACAATGATGTGCATTCCTTTTCTTTCTGTCAATAAATCGCATTCTCTAAGTGCATCCGTTGACGGCAGCCCACTGAGCTAGCCCCTCACAGGCTTATTGATGCTTTTTGTTGCTTCAATTTTGGAACATATTAGCAATTCCAGCCATGACTGGGGTTTTCTCAATATATCTGAAAATGTTAACAATTTTGCTTTACTTATCTCAAATAGATGCTGTGGTACATACAATTTCATGACTGTTAAACTTTCTTGGTGATTGTTCCTTTTGTTGATGTAATTTTTTCCCCATGCTGGATGCCTTTCTTTTGAATTCTGTCTTGTCAGAAATTGATATTACCGCACTCTATGTGAATTTACTTCCACAACATTCTTTATTTCTACTCTTTCTCTGTCTTTTCTCCCCCTGGACCCTGTGTGTGGCTGACTTAGAGCCCAGTCTCTGAGCATATTTATTAGAATAGGGCTTTTCAACCCACTTCTGATTATGAAGTCTATCAATACCGCTCAGCTCACTTTGGTCTTATTTTGTGTTTCCTATTTAGAAGCTGTTATTTTCTCTCTCTCTTTTTTGAGCTTGTTAACTGATTAAGCTGTGTTTGCTTTGTCTTTTCTACCTACCCTCCTTCCCTTTTTTTTTGAAGTTTTACAAACAATGGTCTTGTTGTCAAACGATAAAGAGTACGAACAATTGTTGTGTTGTGCACCACAGAGCCGGAATGACTCATAGCTGACCGTTCAGCAGGTTTTC